ATACAGACAGGAACCAGAGTCACAGAGGAAGAGGCAATGGGAGGAGGAAAGGGCAAAATCAGTGATTATCCATGGGCTTCGGGAGAGAGAGGAAAGGACACACACACTGAAAGACGGCAGGAAGAAAGAAAGGAGATTGAGAAAATTCATCACGGAAAAAGGGGGGAGAAGATAGGGATGAGATTGTAAATTTTCAGAGAATAGGGGGGTACTTGAAGGGAGAAAACCGACCGATCAAGCTGATTCTCAGGACAGAAACAGTGCGGAACAGGATCCTCCAAGAGAACCACGGTTAAAAAATTTTGGAAGAGTACAAGAAGGTGTTCCTAGACAGAGACAGAACACAAACAGAGAGAAAGCAGCTGAGGGAGAGGACAAAAAACGAAAGGAGCTAGGAAGGGAGACAAGGATGGAACCGCAGAGGTCAGTCAGAGCAGAACAGAGCAGCAAGGGCAAGCACACACACAACTATCCTCAGAACCCCACAACCTATCACCCCATCCCAACACACAATACAATCCATACCCACAGCTTCCCCCCAAACCCCCAACCATAAAATTTCCCAAGAAATGCTACCAGGTCTCCCCACCCCCACAGGCCACCCAAACCAAAATGTTGGAAAGGAAACTGAAGGTATGGTACAAAAAACGCTGATGGAATAACAAACAAGTGGGAGGAGTGGCACAAAACAGTCAAAGAGGCGTCACCAGACACATAGCGATCACAGAAACCAAGCTTACAGGTATGATAACAGATGCCATCTTTCCAGCGGGATACCAAAACCCTTTGAAAAAGACGAAGGAAACAGGGGGGGTGGAGGAGTGGCATTCCCTGATCAAACACCGATGGAATTTTGATGAGCTGGAGAAAAGGAGACAGCGGAGAAGAAAGTGATTACATAGCGGGAACGCTTCACTCTGGGGGTTCCCAAGGTGATAATTCAGTGATGTATAACCCACCACAGAACAGCAGGAGGCCAAAGGGAAGAGTATGACGAGAGCAATAGAGCGATGGTTGACACACTGGCTGCAGTGGCCAGAAGAGCTCATGCATGCAGGGCAAAGCTCCTGATCATGGGCGACTTTAACCACAAGGAGATCGAATGGGAGAACTTGAAGCCACATGGGGGCCAAGATACATGGAGGGCAAGATGATGGAGGGGGTACTGGAAACTTCATGTACCAACACGTAAGGGAAACTACAAGAGAGAGAGGAGAGGTGAACCAGCAAGACTGGACTTAGTATTCACCTTGAGTAGTGCAGATATTAAGGACATCACATATGAAAGACCCCTTGGGGGCCAGCGGGTCATGTGGTTTTGAGCTTCGAATACACAGTAAAGCTACAAGGTGGAGGGGGAAGCAGGAAGGCAAGGACAAAAGAAACCAAACTACAGGAAAGGGGGCTACACAGGAATGAGGAACTTCCCCGGGAAAGAGGTTCATGGGACAGAGAACTGGCAGGGAAGCCAGTTAATGAGATGATGGAATATGTAGCAAAAAATGTGCAAGGAGGCTGAGGAGAGGGTTTTTACCCAAGGGTAAAAAGGAATAATGAAAAAGCCAGAATGAGCCCATGGTTCACCCAAAGATGCAAGGAGGCAAAAACCAAGTGTGCTAGGGAATGGAAGAATATAGAAGGCAAAGGACCCAGGAGAATAAGGAGAGCAGTCGTAGAGCCAGAAACGAAAATGCACAGATAAGAAGGGAGGCCCAACGTCAATATGAAAACGACATAGCAGCAAAAGCCAAAAATTTGACCCGAAGCTGTTATACAGCCACATTTAGGAAGAAAACAACCGTTAAGGATCAGGTAATCAGCCCAAGGAAGGAAGGAGGAAGACAACAAGAAATGACCGTGAAGTATGTGAGGAACTCAACAAAAAGATTCAAAGAAGTGTTCACAGAGGAGACAGAAGGAGCTCCAGAAAGACGGAGGGTGGGGTACACCACCATGTGCTGGACACAGTACACACAACCGAGGAAAGAAGAGGCTTCTGAGTGAGCTAGATACCTCAAAGGCAATGGGGCCAGATAAAAATCTCTCAATGGGGCCTGAGAGAGGGAGCAGAGGGGCTATGTGTACCCCTAACAACAATATTCAATACATATATCGAAACAGGGAGATTGCCTGAGGCATGGAAAAACAGCAAAAAGTGGTCCCAATCTTTAAAAAGGAGACAGACATGAAGCACTAAACTACAGACCAGTGTCATGACAGTATAGCATGCAAAATCATGGAAAAGATTGTCAGAGAAGAATGGTGGAACATCTACAAAGGAATGATCTCATCACCAGCAGCCAACATGGTTTCAGAGATGGGAAATCCTGTGTCACAAACCTACTGGAGTTCTATGACATGGTGACAGCAGTAAGACAAGAGAGAGAGGGGTGGGTGGATTGCTTGTCTTTGGACTGCAAGAAGGCTTTTGAACACCCGTACCACAAAAAGAGATTAGTGCAAAAACTGGAGGACCAAGCAGGGATAACAGGGAAGGCACTGCAATGGATCAGGGAATACTTGTCAGGCGAGGTGTCAGAGTGGGCACCTGTGACCAGCGGGGTCCCACAGGGGTCAGTCCTAGGACCAGTGCTGTTTCTGGTATTTGTAAACGACATGACGGAAGGGAAAAAACTCCGAGGTGTCCCTGTTTGCAGATGACGTGAAGATGATGAGAAGAGTTCATTCGATCGAAGACCAGGCAGAACTACAAAGGGATCTGGACAGGCTGCAGACCTGGTCCAGCAACTGGCTCCTGGAGTTCAGTCCCACCAAGTGCAAAGTCATGAGGATTGGGGAAGGGCAAAGAAGACCGCAGACGGAGTACAGTCTAGGGGGGCCCGAGACTACCCAAAAATCACTCAAGGAAAAAGATCTTGGGGTGAGTATAACACCAGGGACATCTCCTGAAGCGCACATCAACAAAATAACTGCCGCAGCATATGGGGGCCTGGCAAACCTCAGAACATCATTCCGACATTTAATAAGGAATCGTTCAGGACCCTGTACACCGTGTACGTTAGGCCCATATTAGAGTATGCGGCACCAGTTTGGAACCCACACCTAGCCAAGCATGTAAAGAAACTAGAGAAAGGCAAAGGTTTGCAACAAGACTAGTCCCAGAGTTAAGAGGGATGTCCTATGAGGAGAGGTTAAGGAAATCAACCTGACGAAAACTGGAGGACAGGAGAAATAGGGGGGACCCTGATAACGACTTTCAAAATACTGAGAGGAATTGACAAGGTGGACAAAGACAGGATGTTCCAGAGACTGGACACAGCAACACGGGACACAGTTGGAAGCTGAAGACACAGATCAATCAAAGGGATGTTAGGAAGTATTCTTCAGCCACAGAGTAGTCAGGAAAATGGAATAGTTTGGGAAGCGATGTAGTGGAGGCAGGGTCCGTACATATCATTAAGCAGAGGTACGATAAAGCTCATGGTTCAGGGAGAGTGACCCAGTAGCGACCAGTGAAGAGGCGGGGCCAGGAGCTTGGACTCGACCCCTGCAACCTCAACTAGGTGAGTACAACTAGGTGAGTACACACACACACACACACACACACACATACACATACACACACAACACACACACAACACACACACACACACACACACACACACACACACACACACACACACACACACACACACACACACGCACACACACACACACACACACACACACACACAACCACACACACACACACACACAAAAACCACACAGAGAATTGACAGGGTAGACAAAAATGGGACACGGAAACAAGGGGTCACAATTTGGAATTGAAGACTCAGATGTTAGGAAGTATTCTTTTAGTCATAGAGTTGTCAGGAAGTGGAATAGTCTGACAAGTGACGTAGTGGAGGCAGGATCCATACTTAGTTTTAAGACGAGGTTTGAAAAAGCTCATAGGGAAGGGAGAGAGAGGACCTAGTAACGATCAGTGAAGAGGCGGGGCCAGGAGCTATGACTCGACCCTTTCAACCACAAATAGGTGAGTACACACACACGTACGTGTGTGTGTGTGTGTACTCACACACACGTACGTGTGTGTGTGTGTACTCACAAGAAGAATTCAATGCAATGAAGCTGGTTGCTATTAGGCCAAAGATACAGCATCACCTGACAGACGAAAATCTCCTACTTACAAAAAAGTAACTGAATTGCCACCACATCTATGACGAGGCGTAGATATAAACTGTATAACGTCAGCTATGTACGCCAAGTTTACCAATGTAAACATGGCATTTAAGAATGTAAATAAAGAAGGATGTTCATTAATAATATCCACTAATGTGTTTCAGACCTTTTCACGAATATGCAGCGCCAGTGTAGAGCCCACAGCTTATAAAACTCGTAAAGAAAACTGGAAAAAAAGGGATCATACGTTTGCCTCAAGATAATACAAGAAAAGGGGAAGTATCGGTTGTTATAGGGAAGTGTTATTCAGGATAACAGTGATAGATTATTATCTATATGATATACATTTATTTGTGATATATGGAAGGACTGTGTTATCATGGAGAATGAGGTAACTAAGCTAAGACCCATTGTGACCTTTGTAATCCTGTTTTTAAGGTCGCTAGTCACAGGATGAGATATGGGAGCACAGTGGAGAGTGAGAGAATGAGAGAAAGAGAGAAAGAGAGAGAGAGAGAGAGAGAGGGAGGGAGGGAGGGAGGAGGGGAAGAGAGAGGCAAGAGAGGAAATGCGTCCAGTCACCAGTCATGTCTTCTGAAATTGCCTGTTATGTTTCTCATCCTCAGATGGACAACGTGTGGTTACACCTGTCCCTCAGGGCGACATACCTGCCTGATACCTATCTGATACCTGTCTCAGATAGTATATATATATATATATATATATATATATATATATATATAATATATATATATATATATATATTTATATATATATAGCAATAATATAACTTAAAATAACTTACAACTTCACCGTTTCAGGACTACTGGGAAAGAAGGCAATTAGAAAGTACTTACTGAGGATAGGAAAGTGTGGTTATCCTCCGTTGCGTTGATGCGGGAATCGTTGACGGTGAGATTACCGTGGGAGGCGTTGAAGGTGAGGCCATAGTCGAGGTAGTCGAGGTCGAAGTTGTCACTGGTATGGTTGATGGAGCTGATCGTTGTGTTGAAGAAGGCAGTGATGGCAGAAAGCGTTTCCAGCACCTTACCAGCACCTCCACCTGCCCCCTCCATCAGTGACGAAGATTCTCGGGTTGCGTGAAGACTTCGACTTAACCCCGGAGGGCTCCTAGTCGACCGCAGTTACGCCTAGATGTGTTTTTTATATCCACTGAGGCTCCTCTGGTCTTTTCCCTAGGATGCGACCCACGACAGTCAACTAGCACCCAGATACCTGCTGAATACAGGTCAACAGGTGGTAGGCAAATTGTTTGTGTGTTGAATAGCTAAAGTGTCGATCTCTAGTTATTTTGGCTGCGAGTTTAGAGTGAAGGTGACCATAGGAAATACGCATTTTTGAGAGGAAGTGTCTTTCCAAAGACAGTGTAAAATACGAGGGACTAAAGAGCAGGAAAAAACAACAAGAGGACAAAGATGGGAAGAGGTTCAGTGTGAAGAAAAACAATTGAAAAATCTGCAATTCAAACACACAAAATGGTAGTGTGAGGCTGAAAAGATACACATGAAGGATCGTCGTCAGTAAGACGAGTGTTGTGAGTGATGACGGGGAACGTGCCGGGGTGCTAGACTCAAGCAGGCAGAGAACAAATGGTAGACGAAATAATTCAGAATTACAGGTGGTGATGATAGATTGTGTGATAGTCGTAGCAATGACTTTTTGATAATGGTTTCTGTACTGGTAGTGTGGGTGGTTTCTGTATCCGTAGTGGGGTTTCTGTATTGGTAGTGTGGTTTCTGTATTGGTGGTGGTGGTAGTTGTGTTACAAGTAGTCGTGAGAGGGGTGGTAGTCGTTGCAGCTGTGTTGGCAGGGTTTTCAGGTTATGTTGGCTGTTGTGCTGATGCGGGTGATGAGCTGACGACCTCTTCTGCGGTGACCATTAATATTAAATCATTTTTTCCGCATTTGTCCTTCTTTCTCCATAATTTGCTATCAACATTTTTTTACGGCACATAAACATCCATATTTTCGACTTACGTTCATTATATAAGCATAATTTAAACTTTGATTTCTTTCACCATAAAAAAATCAATCAAATATCAATATCTCGGCCACTTCTCAGCAAGATAAGTTTTCACTCTTCCTCTCTGTTTATCCAAACTTAGCTTCTCCCTCGATCGTGAATGGGAAGTTTCGCTAATTAGGAACTTCGTCGTCCGAAGCATCCGTGACGCTGCTCAGTGCATCCTTGGCTTTGATCTTGTCACATCTGCTGTGCCTCCTTCAGCCAGTGAACCACAAGTGGTATTCCCAGAGGGCCGAGTTGTAGATGGACATGTGTGTGTACTCACGTATATGTGGTTGCAAGGGTCGTGTCTCAACTCTTGGCCTTCGTCTCTTCGGTGGTCACTACTAGGTTCACTCCTGGTGTGCAAATTGCTATTATTTTGAAGTATGTGATGTTAGGATTGTTCTAAGTGCTTCAAAACATGAAGTAAAAGTGTTCTTGTCTTGAGATTCCAAGGACTGGGCTGTTGTTGCCACTGTTTCGCGAAATTCCTTGAGTGTTTAGAATAACATTTTCCTCGCTCAATATTTGTCGTGTTTTGTTGACACCTGAACTAAAAGCATTGTCATAGTAAGTGTTGACCTCATCTGACCTCTCTGACTCGTCTTGGTGATATGTAATGACCTCAGCCGACCTCTCTGACGAGTGGTTGGGGGCGTGTTAACGTCAGCTGCCCTGTATGCCGCGTCTTGCTGAGTGATGACCTCAACAAGCAGGTGACCTCAATAAGCAGGTGACCTCAGCAAGCAGGTTACAAACATGACCATCATTCTCTCAAGCAAATATCTGTAAACGAAATATTAAATTAATGGACATCCAGAGTGTATATGTTGTGTGTGTGTGTGTGTGTGTGTGCGTGTGTGTGCGTGTGTGTGTGTGTGTGTGCGTGTGTGTGCGTGAGTGTGTGTGTGTGTGTGTGTGTGTGTGTGTGTGTGTGTGTGTGTGTGTGTGTGTGTTTGTTGAGTGGAGTAAAAAAACTTGACTGTCAAAAATGAATTTTAATATCTTCTGAATTACTTTTATTTACAGCGTTTTCCTGCATATAAGGCGCGCCTTTTTTTCCCACAAGTCTTGGGAAATTAGCCTGCGTCTTATATGCGCAAGGTCAGGGTTAAGGGTATGCTCTGGTTTACGCATTAACAATAAGAGGGTGATTAACCTTTGCATATGATTACTAAGTTACCGTTTTGATACCTGTCGTGCGTCTTATATGCCGGAAAATGCAATAAGTTTTACTTAAGCTCAGTTATTATTTTTACTTATGCACATTTCTTCCTTGAACATACTTATTAACGTTCAAAACCTTACGTTATACCAATTAAAAGAAGGAATTCTCTGCCTATTCTAACTTTCACGTGGAATAATTAAAAGTCGGGGACTTTTCAAATTGCTGTCACTGTTATGGTTGCAATTAATTTGTCAACGTCACTTTTTTTAAGTTTTATAATCTCAATTAAAAAAATTTTTTGCCTTCACTTTAGGGGCGTTGTAACACACTTTATTTTATCAAGTTTGTCGCTGGTGTAAAAAGCTTCTCAAGTATCAGGGCGAGGACGGGAGTGGTGGAGGAGAGAGGGAGAGATGGAGAGGGAGAGATGGAGATAGAGAGAGAGAGAGAGAGAGAATATAGATTTGAATGAATGATGGAAAAAAAGCTAAACATCCACAATCCACATCCACAATGTTTCATTACTTTCACATTTAATCAGTTCTTTCCTATCTCTGTTATCAGTTTTCACTGGTGTCTCCTTCGTCCTTGTCTCACTCCTTTCATGTACCCTGCCTTAATAAGCTTTCTTAATACCATTAGTATTTTGTACGTTAGGATCATATCCCCCCTTATTGCCTGTCTCTCTGTCGTTGTATTGATTAGTTCTTTCTGTCTTTTCTCGAAGTTCAGGTTTCTCTGTCCAACAGACCAGACGGGTGACATTTTTGGGCCATCTCGTTCTTTGCGTCTGAGGCTGAGAAGGGTAGGCCTCCACACTGGTGCCACTTACTCAAAAACCGTTCTTACAATGTTATGAATTATTCTTCTTTCGTGTTTCTTATATTAAATTAGCAATCATCCTCCGCAATTAAATAGGTTAAAAAGGTATCTTCACATATACACACACAATAACGATAAAAGCAAGCATCATGTATTCAGTAAGTCATTCTCCCCAAAGCCCTTTCATCTCAGTATAAACCACTGATCTCTTGACGTACAGAGACACACACATCAACAACTCACACACAAACGCACCATTAGATAGAGGCTTCAAGATATGGCAAGACTGGGTGTGGTCTAATCGCTAGGATGTTTATTGACGAGAGCCTCGTGTATTAGGGCCAGAGAAAGCTCCCTGTTTCAAGCAAGTTAATTTTATCCCTTGTTTTATGGAGGAAGAGGGGGGTACACACACACACACACACACACACACACACACACACACACACACACACACACACACACAGTGTATGTAGCAGGGAGAGAGAGGACCTATTAGCGATCTTTGAAGAGGCGAGGCCAGGAGCTACGAATCGACCCCTGCAACCACAAATAGGTGAGCACACACAACGGCAGTGAGCAAAGAAGGAATGAGTTCGTAATGGAAAATTGAAAAGAAGAGAGAGAATTTCAAAATGGCATGGAGACAAAAATCTCAATAGGAACCGTAGATCCTAAACATCAGAAGGAAGGTGACCATAAAGGACGACGTAATGAAGATTAAAAAAAAAAGGAGAGCCTAGTAAAAACGAGAAAGGTCTCCCAGAAGCTGAACTACGAGGCTAGAATATCCATTGGGCACATGAAGCCCAGCGTTCACAACCTGCGAAAAACTATGCATTTATTTAAGGGGAGAGGGGGGAAGGTTATAAACAAATTTCAGTAGACAGGTGTCTACGTTGCTTATCGTAGTTATTTTGTTCTCTCCCTGGATATATTATATACCTCCAGTCCTACCTAGAGACGACACCTTCGTAAACCCATAGAGCCGTGATGAAATCTTCCAGCGCAGGCTGACACATTTATTATTGTATGTATGAAACTCATCCTGCATGATAAAGTACGACAGGGTGAGCAGCTAGCTTTAGTTCCCACAATGTAACTATCAGCTTTATGGGGATACCTAATTTTGAATAATAATAAAGAGTTACGGCTGACATTTCATTTATAATTAGCTCTTGTGTACTCACCTAATTGTGCGTGTGTGTGTGTGTGTGTGTGTGAGACCATACAATGGCTCAGAACAATGCTTTAACGGCATGACTCACGAAATCGTAATGACACGATTGCAAACAAACCATACCACGGGCGGGGATAAAACCCGCGATCAAAGACTCAAAACTCCAGACCGTCGTATTAGCCACTGCTAACCTTCCTATCGTGTAAAAATATACCTAGTTGGATGAATCTTATTGTGGCTAGCTGACCCAGTGGCAAACGCGACGGTCTGCAGTTTTGAGACTCTCTGATCGCGAGTTCTAACCCCGCCCCTGGCTGAACAGGAAGTGTTTTCTGTCAAAAAAGTGTTCTCTGTCAAATCTAGAACAAGAAAAGAGAGAGAGAGAGAGAGAGAGAGAGAGGAGAGAGAGAGAAAAGAGGGGAGGGGAGAGAGAGAGAGAGAAGAAGAAAGATGACATGAAGTCAAGGAATGTGAAACTACCAGAAGCGTCCTGGCCCAGGGAACGAAGCGACGGGGTTTAGGAAGAACGTGAGGGGAAAATTTTGAAATAAACATTAAATTCATATTTAATATATAATCCGTTCAAAATCAAAAACCCGTTAAAACAAATTTTAAAAGAACATCATTACCCCTCAAATTTCGCTATATATTTAGGATGTCTTTTTTTTTTAACCCCATCGGGAGCTAAAATAAAAAAAAAACGATGAGTTAGAATTATGTGCCCCGGGTTTTAAAGTAAAAAATTAAAAAAAATTATAGCTAGTAGAGTTTTTATATTTTCAAAAAATAAATAAAAAAAAAAAAAGAAAAAAAAGGGTAAATAACTTTTTTTTTTTTTTTTGCAAGTTCTACGTGTTTGCGTTTTTAATTACGAGGCTGCTCAGCATCACGGTTTAGTGGGTCGAAGCATCACTTGAAGCAGCTCCTTCACCCTCCTCTTCTTCTCCCCTCTCTCGCTCTCTTTCTCTCTCTCTCTCTCTCTCCTCTCCCCTTCTCTTCTCCTCTTTCTCCCCCTCTCTCCTCTCTTTCTTTTCTTCTCCTTTCTCTCATGATTTCTATTCACTGATGAGTGCTCCGCTTAGCGTCATTTCACATCACCCTCGGGAGACCCTAAGTGTCTAAAGTATTTTTTTTCTAAGTAACGAGGTAACTCGGGGTCCCCTCCCTCGGGCGGGAAACCGGAAGGTGGGAGTGATGGGTTCCCAAGGGAAAAATGCAGCATTTCCCCGCATCTGTGAAAGGGGGAATACAGTCGTGTGCAAGGCAGGGCCCGAAGTTAAGGATGAAGCAAGCGCTTTGTACGCATTCTTCCACCGGAAAAGTATCACATGCTTCGTTGTGTGTATTGTATAGGCGGTGTATTTAGTATTTTGTTTTTTGTAGTTGTGTTGTGTGTTTGATAGTGTTGTGTGTATTGTATAGTTTTGTGGTATTGTGTATGTTGTGTTTTATTTGTTGTGTTGTTTATTGTAGTAGTGTTGTGTGTATTGTAGTTGTGGTAGTTTTTGTAGGGGTGCTGGGGTGTATTTCAGTGGTGCTTTTGTATTGTAGTGTGTGAAAGTACCTTAGATGCTCCTCGGGGCACGCGGGCCCCCCTTCAAACTCCCATAAAGAACCACCCCCGGGAGATGACCATAAAATGTAATCGAAACATGACCCCACAAATCGTAATTTACACGCCGCAAAAAAACCCGGGAATGGGTGTGTTTAAACCCTAGGCGACGAGCCCAAAAAACTCCAATGGCGCACAAAAATGGTCTAGATTTTTGAAATCGTTGAGTGTGGAATGTACCTGAGATGTCTACGCTTCACTCTTCTAAAGGCAGCGTACCAACCTAAGTAAATGTGCAATTCATATAATGATGGACTCTGCAATGTATTAAATATTTTACAAAATAGCTAAAATTCGTTGTCGTAAACAACTATGCCCGCAGCTCGATCGCTATGCACTCAGCCAACACTGAAATCCGGGATCGAATCCCGGCACGCTGGAAAAAATTAGGACGTTTTCCATAAGACACCTCTGTCAATGTTTCCCCCCAAAATGGGTACCCCGGGTGTTAGTTGATGGTGTTGGGGCCTCCTGGGAAAAAAATTGACCCAATTTGCCGAAATGCTCACAAAAAGGGGCTTTCATATAGCGGGTTCAAAAAAGGGCTATATACCTTGTAAATGAACTTGTAAAGGCAAAAAATTTTTATTATTATTATTATTATTATTATTATTATTTTATTATTATTATTATTATTTTATATTTATTAAAATGAGATAATTTAACAAATAAAAAGGGAATCAACCCATTTAAAGGGCCCAGGAACTAGCGTGAGCGTCGAACTGCAGTTTTGGGGCCCATTCGAGCCCCCCGTTCACCCTTCTTTTTATTAATTTTAAAATTTAAATATATAAGGATAGGGAGAGAGAGAGAGAGGGAGAGAGAGGAGAGAGAAGGGGGAGAAGAGAGAGAGAGAGAGAAGAGAGGAGAAGGACCAGATTAAATGAAAAAGATGCAGTATTGTGATCTAAAAAAAATATTCATTAAAAAAAAAGACAAATAAGGGGCTCCAGTTTTTATAAACCACCAACATTTCCCTTAAACAAACAAAAGAAAAAA